GGGACTCAGGGTGGGGCATTGGCGTTTCCCCATGGTCAGATATCGATACTGTTTTTCTTCTGTTAATCTCTTGTCATTTTTTTCAAAATTGCATCCCTCTGGGAATTTGACTCCCAGATATGACTTTGTAGGCCTCCTTGGGTTTGATCTTCAGTATCATATGAACCAGGTGTGGTGGCACAGGCCTATGACCCCAGCATTTGGGAGGTGCAAGCAGGAGGAGCAAGGTTCATGAGTATCCCTGGCTACATCGAGAGTTAAAGACCAGCTTGAGACACGAGAAACTACCCTGCACTAACAAAACAAGAAGGAGAGGCCCCAAGATGGTGCAGTGAGCAAACATCCGCGCCTCCAAGCCTGGTGCCCTGAGCTTGACCCTGGAATCCACTTAGTGGAAGGAGAAGACCAATCCCACCACATTGTCCTGACCTCCACTTGCACACGGGGCATTGTTCCACACACCTGCAGGCCCTACACTCAGGAAGCAGAGGCCAGAGAATCACCATAAATGTAAAGCCAGCCTGGCTTATATAGTGAGTTCCAGGCACTGCCGGGTTACATAGTGAGACTGTGGCTCAACACCCCACACCAGTACAGAGGAACACAACTCCTCAGGTGTGAGTGCTGTCAGCTGGGTTTGAATAAGCTGCTCCTGAGGCTGTGAAGAAAGTCACTCTTAGAATCCACTTGGAGAAGTACTGCAGTGCATATAATCCAATAGTCAACTTTTTCTAGACCTAAGATCTCTCTTATTTCTGACATTTAGCAAAATTGTAGGGTTGGTTTGTTGTTTGCTTTTGATTTGGGCTTTTATTTGGCTGGTTGTTTTAGTTTGGTTTTGTCTCTAAGACAGCCTTGCTATGTTGCCGAGACTGGTGTGGAACCGAAGGCCCTCTGCCTGAAGCTTGTGAGTGGTGGGAACTAGAGTGTTCCTAGAGCGGTTTGCATCCCCAGCTCCCCGCTGTACTGCCAGCGGGTGGCGTGACGGAGCACTGAGGGCTGGTACTCTTTAACCTGGAACAGACGGCCTTGGGGCAGTGACCTTCCTGCTTAGTCTAAAGCATAGGGGGTCTGTCCCGGGCTTATGGAAAGCACGTTTAGAGCTCTCGGGAGGGAGGCTAAGGCGGGAGAATTGGGAGTTCAAGGACACCCTGCCTCGAAGTAGCAACAGCAGCCTTGGAAGCCAAGGGCTCAAGTTTGTGTCCTGGTACCTAAGATACCAGGTACACATCCTGCCTCCTCCACCCCAGCTAGTCCTCCGAAAGCAGGCTCTGAGAGAAAATGCTGTATTTGTGCAGCACTCAGAACTGGTCACCAGCATGTGATTCAGAATTTCAAAATCTTTGTGCTGGGAGTTCCTGGGGAGAGTAGGGGTGAATATGATCAAGATACATTATTTTCATGCATGAAAGAATAAATTAAGCCTGGCAGTAGTGGTGCCCACCTGTAAGCCCAGTACTTGGGAGGCAGAGGTAGGAGAATCTTTGAGGCCAGGCTTGTCTACAGAGCCAAGGCTATACAAGAAACCCTGTCTCAAAAAGGCAAAAGAAGAGGAGCAGAATTGGGGGAGACATGACCCCCATATAATGGCACTGCAGAAAAGTCCTCCACGTGGATGAGGACATAATGGCAGCTGCACCCTGGAGTTCCCCTTTCAGTTCCCCTTCCAGAGAACTCACACTGGGGTGGAATTACATACGGCTAGCAGGGGTGCAGGAGGGAGGGAAGGAGGGCCTCACGACCCTCTCCCCAAGCTAGCCTGCACGATTATCGGAAGGGTATTGCCAGTTTTGAGAGTACCTTGCAGGTCGTCCTAGCTGCCAGGACGACAGTGGTTGTTAGGTTAGAGGGCAGTGTTCCATGAAACTGCGGGCCCCACCCTGCCCTTGTCCCCAGATCTGTGCCTCTGAGCTTTGGATACCTCCCTCTGAAGAGCCTCCCTTGGCTCAGACCTGATAGCTATTGGAAGCTGGGACTATTTAATTTTTATTTTCTTGAAATAAGGCTTTACTATGTAGCCTTGGCTAGCCTGGAACTCGCTGTATCAACCAGGCTAGCCTCAAACCCAAAGAGATCTGCCTGTCTGCCTCTCAGATGCGGCGATTAAAAGTTATACCACCACACCAGGCTCTTTTAATTGGTTGTATGCTGTATAAGGGATGTGTGTCAGCAACATTAGAAACATGCTCTGTAAGACTGTTAAGACGGCTCAGCCGGTAAGCCTGCTTGCTCCCAACCCTGACAACCAGAGTTGGTTTCCTGGAGCCCACTTGGGGGAGGACAGAACTGACCCTCACAAGCTGCCCTCTGACCTCACATGTACTGGTCCATGCACTTCCACACATGCTTACACACACAGAGTACATAAGTGTAAAAATTACCAGGCATGGTGGCTTCTACCTACACCTAGGAGTAGTGGAACAGGAAGGAGGACCTATAGCTGGAAGCCAGTCTGGGCTACAGAGTGAGTCCAAGGTCAGCTTGGCCTATGAGACCTTGTCACAAATAAAGAAAAGCCAAAACAAACAAAAAGGTGTTATAGGTGTATAGTTTAACTCACAGCAAAGGTTTGCCTCCATCTTTTGAGGTTGGCAGGTTTCTTGTGACGAGGTAGGTAACCTCAGCCTTGGCTCTAAAAACCATCCATGCAGCTGTGCATTATCTGCAGCAGTCAGGGTTAGATGCCAGAGCAATGTACACCTACCTCACTGGCATTGTGAGAGACAAGTTGAAGTGTACAGCAGAGGACCTGGTGTAAGAGTGGCTCCCTCATTGGCTATCTTGGCCATGTTAATGTGTATAATAGGCAGCAGAAATATGCAGTGGGTTCAGAAACTGGATATTTTCTTGAGGTTTATTGATTATCTTGTAGCCAGTAGTTTAGTGGTTAAGAGTCTGGGCTGGGCTTGAGCTTAGTTCCACTTCCTGCTGGCTGGCTTTGGGATTCTAGGTGGACCTGACAACATCGCTTCTGTGTTCCTGCAGCTGTGATATGTACACATTAAATATGCTAAGATGATGAGCTACTGTGTATAAGCTGTGTGGTTTAGCCTCAAGACCTCTGGCATTTCATGTTGCCTTTCTTGTTAGTGTTCAGGTTACAGACAGTCTCTCTCCCTCTCTTTTTTCTCGTTTCCCTTCTATGGGTCTCTGACTCCAAGGAGAGTTGTGATGTCCTGAGGCTCTGAGTGTCCCATGTGCTTTACTCAACACTTGAGAGTGTTCCTGTGTTCCTGGAGTGGCCCTTGGCTGCCCTTTGAGTGCCAGCCCCTGGGCAGCTAGGCGTGGGTAGGTGGGGCTGGTGCTTGCTATGTGGAGGTGTGCGATCTTGACCTTGGTTCTTTCTGCTGTTTGTGCCCAGGTGGCAGAACCATGGATAGCTGCGCAGGAAGCAAGGATAGGCGAGAGGCTGGGGAGGACAATGAGGGATTCCTTTCCAAACTTAAGAAAATGTTTACTTCCTGATACCCCTGCTGAGGTAGGAAAACCTGTGAGCTTTCTTCCCTGTTTCCCTCTGTGAACTAATCTCTCTTCTTCCAACATTGGACCCCACCCTACCCTACCCCAGAAGTTGGGAGAGGTGCCAATCAAAGGTGTAGTACATGTGGTATCCTCCCATTCCTTGGAGCAGAGCATGTGGTACTTAGCCTTTTCATTCAAATTCCATTTAGATTCCTTCCTAGATGGGTTGAATTTGGGGCTAACTTACAGCCCACCTTATGTCATTTTCCAGGGGCTCTGTCCCTCAGTGGTGGGACCTGCTTACCCATAGTCCAGAAGGCAGATTGTGGCGGAGCCAAGCCTAGAACTCAGATCTCCTCCACCTCCCCCCTGCTTTTTCCACCCTGTTGTACCTAGGCAGCATGGTGCTGTGCAAGTCTGGGCTGCTGAGGAACAGTGCTTGTTTTCTGTGCCTAGAGACACACTGTTGTTTATGTTCACCCCATGTCCTGGGGCGCTTGACCCTCGAAGCACAGCCGTTCTCCTGGGGTTAACTGAGCCTCTTCCACAGCGGTGTGTTCTTCTGAGATGTGGAGTCTAACTGTTTGTCTCCTTGGCTCAGGAAAACGATCAGCTGGAAACTAGATGAGGAGCAACAGCCCCTCTCCATGGCCAGGGCATCTGACACAGGAGGACCCCAAAATAGCAGCATGGAGCCCTGCCTACACAGCCCTCTGAACCGTTACTCAGCAACAGCAAAACTATGTGAGGACACCTCTCCACAGGTCATGGTGACCGCCCCTAGGCAGTGATGTGTGGCCTTCGGGCTGGAGATATCCTGTCCACTGGTAGGTGACATGCTTCTGGTTTAGGCAGGGTACAATACTTGGACTCTTCTTGCAGCACTAAAAATAATCTGGAATCGCATGTAATAGAGAGCTTAAAAAAATTAAAGGCCGTGCTTACAGCTTAAAATGAAGCCTTAAGCTGCACAGCATTGTGAAGTGATTAATTCCCTCTCAACAAACCTCGTGGAGGTTCTGAAATGTCCTTCCCAACAGGTAGTCTTCTTAGGCCCCAGAGGCGGCACACCCCACCAGTGCCATCCTCCCTGACGGGCTCTGCTGAGGGTCTGCCACTGCCCTTAGACTTGGTTTGCTTTTGTTTTATTGAAGGTACCAAGCAGCTGGAGAGTGGGTACTGGGGCCCTGGGAGGCAGAGTTGTGCAACACAGTCCCCTATCCACTTCACCTCAGAGGGCAGCTTGCCTGACGCTGATTAGATTGTTCTAGTTTAGTGTGTGGGGGGGGTGTTTCCTGCCTGTTGGACCAAAGTTACCATGGTCATGTGGGACAGCCTTGAGCCTCTGGAGACCCCGACTTTGCCAGCCAGGGCTTGGTTCTCCCCTCTTCCACTGCTGACATTTGATTTCCACGGTGTATTTAAATTACTCAATGGTAAGAATCATTGTCGTCTCCTGTGTAAATGTTGAGGGGAGCACACTGTGCAGAGCACCTCACTTCCGGCCTCTGCTGGTAGCATGTTGCAGTTTCCGTGTTCCAAGGTCTTGGAGCTGGTGTAAGACAGGCTAATAAAGAACACTTTCTCTGTAGTTTCTTTCTTTTCCTTTATAATTTACAAAAGTAAAGCATTTCTTAGTGTCTGATTTAAGAATGTAAAGTGATTCTGTATCAATGTAAATAAGATGATCTACTACAAAAGATATTTAAAACCAAAACTGTGGTCATTTCTTCTTTGAGAGTTCAAACTAGCTTCTACAGGTGGCCCAGCAGAGGCAACAGAAGTCAGCTAGCAGCGTCTGCTAGTTCAGCTTCCTGATGCCAGCAAGGTGGCCCTAGTGCCCTGACCGGAGATCCCCTACTCCCATTTCCAGAACAGGCCCTTGCCAGGAGACAGTGTTCCTCTGTGTGCAAACTCTTGAACCTAGTAGATTAGAGAGCTCAGCTGAGAAATGTGCATGTGATCACTGTGTCCTTCCATGATTTCTCTGTTTTTCAGTCTTTGTTTTGCTATGTAGTCCAAGCTGGAACTCCTTTTTTTTAAAAGGTGGTTCCTGGTATTGAACCCAGGACCTCAGGCATGCTAGGCAAGTGTTCTACTGAGCTGTTCCCTTAGCTACATTTCCCTGTTACATTAAAAAAATGCATATGGGAGTTTTGTCCACACATATCTACGTACCACCTGCGTGCAGTGCCCAGAGACAGAAGAGGGTGTCGTGTCTTCTGGAAGTGAAAGGACAAGGAATGGTTGGTAGCCACCATGTGGGCGCTAGGAACCAAACTCAGGTCCTCTACAAGAGCAGCAAATGCTCCTAACTGATGAGGCGTCTCACCAGTCCCCCATATTAAACTTCCTGAACCTGGCAGGATGACTGGGTAAAAGTGCTTGCCAACAAGCCCAATGAACTGAATTCAATCCCTGGGACCCATATGTGGAAGGAGAGACCCAGTATCCGCAGGTTGGTTTTTGCTTATTGCTGTCTGAGTATGGGGGTACGTGCCTTTAATCCCAGAACTTAGAGGCAGAGGCAAGCAGATCTGTGAACTTGAGGCTAGCCAGGTCTACTTAGCAAATTCCAGACCAGCTAGGGTTACACACCAAAACTCTGTCTTTAAAACACACACACACACACACATTTGCTTAGTGTACTTTAACTAGTCCAGGCTTCCAGCAGAGCCTTAATGGCTTTTCAGATAAGCAGAGAGAGGTATGGAAGGATTCACTGGGCTGGGCAGGGAAGAGATGGTAGGGAAGAGATGGGGGGGCAGCTGAACACTGGCCTGCAACAGTAGTCGGGGAGACACTGTTCTCAGGGGTTTCTTTCTGAAGAAGTCTGCCAGGTCTCAGAGCTAGGAAGGGACTTGGGAGAGGTAGATGGGTCTTTGGCTAGGGCATCATTACTGACTCGTTGAGGACTCTTAGGAGGATAAAAGGTGGCTAGGCAACATCTATAGAATGAAGTCTCACCTCCAGGCCTAGGTGGGCTTATTTCTACACACTGCTCCCGAGGCATGTTTTTAGACTTTGTAGCCTCTGAGCTGGAACTGGAGCATCATATGGGAGATGGAGGCAGAAATTCAATGCCAGTCTTAGCAACATAGTGAATTTAAGGCCACAGGCTACATGAGAACTGGAGGACTGGTTGTCCCCTCTGTTTGGGTCCTCATCACCTTGCCTCCTGGGATTACAGGAGGTTTCCTGCGCTGTTTGTGGCCAAACAGAATACAGTCCAAGGTCTGCTGTTGTATGTAAAGGAAGAGCCTGTGCCTCGAGACATTTAGCTATGGCAGGAGATGGGAAACGGAAGAGGTGGACATGACTGTCTCATTTGGTGAAATGGTTTGTAACACAAGGTGTTTTGTGTGCAGTGCAGATAATTTGTCACACACAGAACCACCTAACGAGCACCGTGTGTGGCTCTCCACTCAGCTTCATCGGGAACTTGGGAGGCTCCCACTGTGCTCTGCAGTGGAGGCCACCATTCAGAGGAACACAAGCCAAACTGAAGGGCACGTGCAGGCTAGCAGGGTTTTGCCTTGGTGTGGCAGACAAAACACAAGGTACTTGAAGTGCTAGGCACAAGTGGGTTGACCGTGTCTTCACAGCAGCCCAGGGGGTGGGAACCAGATAAGTAAACACCCGGGGTGGGCAGCGCATGGCCCTGATCCTGCCACTCTAGTGAGGAGCTGGCTGGTACTCTGTGTCCACTCTGGACCTTGATTCTGGCAGGCCTTCCCAGGCTTAGGTGGAGCATCGTAGAGCAGCACGTAGAGACAGCCTGTGGGTCTCCTGACCCCGTGGGCTCAGAAGTCCACGCTTGTTACTGTCTTCTCCCTTTACTCTGCTGGGAAGGCCCCTGCCCTTCCCCACAGACCTCAGCATAGGTATTTCCTCCTGAGGCCAGTCCTGTCCTGATTGGTCTCCTTAAACTTTTCATCTTTTTGGTGCTGGGGGTGAAGCCCAGGGTTTGCACTCGTGCTCTGCCTCTTAATGTCACTCAGAACCCTAACCTCAGACTCGGAAATAAGCCAGGCTGCTTATTTCCATCTGTTCTCTGCAGCCTGGGCTCTGTAAGTTTTGCTTTTCTTTCTCTCTCTCTCTCTCTCTTTCTTTGTGTGGCCTTCCCACTAAATAAGTTCTTCGTCAGGGTGGTGGCGGCTCACACCTTTAGTCCCAGCACTGGGAGGCAGAGGCAGGTGGATCTCTCAGCTTAAGGCCAGCCTGGGCTACAGAGCAAGTTCCAGAATAGCCAGGGCTCCACAGAGAAACTGTCTCAAAAAAGTTGCCTCAAGACAGACAGTATAACTTGTCTGTTTACCCCATATTTTAAGGTGTGGCACAGTGAGTTGTCAAGGAGATGCCTCAGTCAAGAGTCTCTGGTAGAATGCATGATGGGATCACTGCTCCTTTTCCTGCTCCGAGTCTGATGTCAGGGAAGGACAGTAAAAAGACAGTGTGCCAGTGGTTAGACAAACCCATACACTGGTGGAAGTTCACAGACGTGTCATGAAATCTCAGCTGGTGTTTGGGCTTTCTGGGCCTTTGTTGCTCCCTGTGAAGGGCTTAGAGGTAAGCTGACCCATAATGTTGGTCTTAGACACAGGCAACATCACCTCATCTCCAGTGGTCCACAGCTCTGCCACGTTCCATTTGTTCTTTCTGTATGGATGTGTTGTGTGCACGTGTACATGTCACACAGGTACAGGTGAACGTGCCTGTGTAGCATGAAGACCAGAAACTGACGTTAGACACTCTCCTTCCGTCACTCCCCGCCCGATTTTGCGAGGCAGGCCTGGCACTCACTGGTTCGAGTTAAGACTAGTGGGCTACTGAGCTGCAGAGACCTTCCTGTGATTGTGGGTCACACCTGCCTGTTTGTGTGAGTGGGTGCCAGGATCCGAACTCGGGACCTCAGGCTTGCACAGCCAGCACATCACCGAGCCCTCTCCCCAGCCCCGATGCTTTTTCCAGCCCCCTTTGAAGGTTATTTCCAGCTTGGCTACACCTGGCCAGAGTTCTGGTGAAGAGAGGAAAAAGACAAGGGTCCAGGACTTCTACATCAGTCTTCTGTCCTCATTCAGAACGAATGCATGGGTGGCCTCAGTGCCTCTGGCCCTGCCTGCCGGTGTCAAAGGCTGCTGGTGGCTGGCTGAGACTCTGCTTTACCTGATCCCCTGTGGACTGTGTGTGTGTGTGTATACACTGCTCAGCGCTCTTCTCGGGGCTGAGGTGATAGCAGATGAGCCCTTGTGCCTACTTGGTGCCGCCTACCAGTACTTCCATACTATCAAGGCCCATTTTCATGCATCTGCCGCTCCAGCTCACTTCCCACAAACAAGAGGCCTTTTCTTCTGGGAAACTATCTGTGAGAACAATGGTTTTATTTGGGAAAAAACCAAAACAAAACCCCCCCACAAAACTGTACACAAGAAAGGATGGCTGTACCTCTTAGTCCCCGGCTGAGGGCTTCAGGATCACAGCTGAGCAAAGTCCTCTCTGTGCTGTGCTAACCACTGGTCCAGCGTTTGTGCCTTGGGGTTGAGTTGCAGGGTTAGATCAATGTTGCGGTCGGGTTTCAGGGCATAGAAACGGAACATGTTGGCCAAGTCTCGGGCCCCTGGGAAGCCAAGCTTCTCATATTGCTCAGGAGTTGTCTGGAAACAGAAAGGCCACATGCCTATTTCCTCCACAGCCCTGGTGATGCCAAGTAGGCTTGGCTTCCTCCTACCGAGTCCTGGGAAGCCAGGGTATGGCTGTGTTGGTCCTGCAGTCACTAACTCAGGTCCTCACTATGAGGCCACGGGAACACTACCAACTAGAAAGCCAGAAGTATGGAAACCGTGGCTCCTCACAGGCTACCTGACACCGATCAGTTTAAAGGCTGTCCTTTCAAAGTCATGAGATGAAAGCCATCAGTGCCTCCCAGAGCTGAAATCAGCTACATCACTTCCTTGTTCAAAAGCCAAAACTATTCCTTTTTCAAACCAATCTGAACTCTTGAGCTCCTTAGGTCCTCCACAACCCTGGCTTAGTCCCACCTCTTTTTAAAGCCACATGGCCACTTAGTGCCCTTTCTATTATTTATCCACACCCCCTCACCACCCCAGGCGGGTTTCTCTGTGTAGCCCTGGCTGTCCTGGAACTCAGTCTGTAGACCAGACTGGCCTCAAACTCACAGAGATCCACCTGCCTGTCTCAAAACAAACAAACAATAATAATAACCCTTTGGGAGTTAGGGACGTTTTGCAAGATCTGGGGCTTCACAGCTCTGTGGAGGGAGGGGCCCACCTTTGCATGATGTACAGTCTTGCCAGTGTGTCTGGTCAGCAGGGCAGCATACTCCTCTGCAGTGTGCCTGCAGGTGCTGAGGCCGATGTTCCGCCCTACATACTCTTCTGGCTTCTTCAGCAAGCTGAGCACCACGGGACCCAGGTCACTCACTGCCATTCCATCCATGGGGACATCACCCATGGGCAAGTCTGTGAGAACAGATAAGTGTGCTAGCTGGGACAGAGTTCCTCAGGGGAAGAGATTGGCAGCTGGTTCCCCAGCAGCCAGTCCTCTGGGCATCCACACATACCAGTGTTGGTCTGTCTTCGTGTAGCAGTTCTCAAGCTCTACAAACTCTAAGTCTGTACCAGTGGTCTGTCGTTCACTGGGCGGATCGGACTCCTAAACTCTGTGCCAACACCTGCATCCTCACGTGAAGGTGAGTGATAGCCACAGGGCAAGGAATGGCCAGCAGGCAGCAGCCCCTCCAGCTTTGGCCTCTAGTACCTCCTACTCTAATCCACTGAGCGACTGGAAGGACACAAGTTGGCTGAGGTTCCTTCCAAGCTGAGTCAGGCATCCAGGTTGTTTACAGACTGGATGGCAGACACTATCTACACCTTCCACTTCCCGTTCTGAGAGCAGTAATAACCTTGGCTGGTTTTCTCATTACTCCAAGGGACCATTGTGTTAAACCCATTTCACAGAATTTAAGTCGAGGCCTACCTTTTAGACGACTCTCCCAGTCTCAAGCCTAATGTCAGGGACCCTGGGCTTAGACCCAAAGTGATCTGGTGGCAACCCCACATTCGGCCAAACCTATTACTTCATATGCTGCGAACTGTATTTCCCTGTGTAGGGTAGGGCACACTCACCCAGCAAGTAACTCTCTCCATCTGCAGCTTTCTGGGGCAGGAAATAGGAAAGGAGGTTCTCAAAATAGCAAGGCAGCCGCACACTGGTCATGGGAACACCAATGTCTCGGAAATACTCCTCCACCTCCCCTTTGCCATCAAAGTGGCCTGCTGCCAACCTTCCCGCCGTCAGCTTGCTGATGTTCTCCAGGCCACTGTAGACAACATAATGGAGGCCCAGGCGCTTGGCTAGATCTGCTAGAAGCTTGCCCTGGGAAGCAGGAAGGAGAGACCACAAGGGTAAGAGAAAGGCTGTGTGTCCCTGACCTTCCTCCCCTACACATGGGTTAACTCCATGACTCCCCTGCCTGTGATGCTAAAAGCCAGACCACCTCCCAAGTCCTCTGCTCTGGAATAATGCTCATACACAGCACTGCACTAAGCTTTCAAGCTCCAGGGTCACCTTTACAATCACGGGTTTTCTCAACTACACCTCACGGTGCACACTAGGGGAAAGTGAGGTCAGAGGTAAAGTCAGGAAGATCAGGAGTTCAAGGCCAACTTCAGCTATAAGAGACCCCATCTTAAAAAGAAAAGGAAAAAAAGAAAAACACTTTAAAAGGGAGCAAGCCTGCCTTGGGAAGGGGTGCTAGAAACCTTTTTGATGTGCATACCCCATCTTTGCTGACTGCAGAACTTAGCTGACTTGATTGGTGAGCTCAGAGTCATCTTTGGAGATGCTACAGCTTGATGGCTAAGCACAAAGGCCACTCAGGTTCATCTGGGCTGTGTGACCCAGGACAAGTGGGCCAACCATTGTGACCCCACTGGTTAATAAACAATGATCCATGCCATTAAAGTTGGGGATATGTAATCGCAGCCCCCTAAAAGATCTGCTCATACATTACCCCTGCAAGCTTTTAAATACGACTTCATTTGGGGACAGGGTCTTTGTAGACAGCATTAACAGTCTTGAGATTTGATTATCTTAGATTAATCACATGAATCCTAAAATCCTAAATAAATATCCTCCTAAGAGAAGAGAGCTATGGAGCTGGACAGATGGCAAATTGGTTAAAGCACTGGCTGTTCTTACAGAGAACCCAGGTTCATTTCCCAGCACCCACATGGCAGCTCACAGTGTCTGTAACTCCAGCTTCAGGGGATCTGATGCCCTCTTCTGGTCTCTGTGGACACTGCATGCAAGAGGTGCAGGGACACACATGCGGACAAGACACCTGGGGTGGTTTGAATGGGAACAGCTCCCGGGGGCTTGAATACTTGGTCCCACTGGTGCGGCTGTTTGGGAAGAATTAGGAGGTATGACTTCGTTGGAGAAAGTGTGTCACCGGGGATGGGTTTTGAGGTTTCAAAAGCCTATACCCTTCCCAGGTGGCTCTCTTTGAGCCTCACACCCATGGATCAGGATACTCCTCCACAGCCATGCTTCCTGCCATGATGATCATGGATTCAAACCCTCTGGAACCATGAGCCCTAATAAATATAAGCTGCCTTGGCCATGGTGTCCCTTCACAGCAATAGAAAAGTAACAGACAATGCCATAAACATAAAATTTTTTAAAAAATAAATAATAATAATAATAATAAGCCAGGCGTGGTGGCATATGCCTGTAATCCTAGCATTCAAGATTACAAGTTGCAGGCCCACTTGGGTTACATAGCAAGACCTTGTCTCATCCCCCCCTGCCAAAATAAAACCCACAAGAACCCAGGAGAATATGGAGGCGCTCACTGGTGTGATACATAAGCTTAGGCACACCCAGAGCCACAGAAGCGGGAAGAGCTGAGGAAGCACTCCTCCTGGAGTGTTAGGAGGGACTGAGACCTTGCTGGCAACTGCTGGAGAACACTATGTAAGGTGTGTTATTTTGTTCATGTTGCATTTGTTTAACTCTGTGGACTCATGTTACTGTGCATGTCTGAAACACCTGACGGGTCTAATAAAGAGCTGAACGGCCAACAGTGAGGCAGGAGAGAGAGACAGGTGGGGCTGGCAGGAAGAGAGGATGTATAGAAGGAGAAATCTGGGAGGAGGAAGGAAAGAGATGGAGAAGTGAAGAGAAGAGTGAAGGAGGAGGACTCCAGGGCCAGCCACCCAGCGACACAGCCAGCCACAGAGTAAGAGTAAGATTTACAGAAGTAAGAGAACGGGAAAAGCCCAGAAGCAAAAGGTAGATGGGATAAGTTAAGAAAAGCTGGCAAGAAAAAGCCAAGCTAAGGCTGGACAGTCATAATTAGAATAAGCCTCCATGTGTGATTTATTTGGAGCTGGGTGGGGAAGGTCCCCCCCAAAAGACCAAAGACCAAGCAATAACAGGCAGCTTAATCTGGATGTCCACCTTTTAGAACTGTGAGCCACTTTCTGTAGCTTTAGACTGGAGTATACTGTTACTGTAGTCCCAGGGGGCTCACAAGGGTTTCCCAGGACTAAGGAGACAGATTGTTCCAAGCAGACCTTTGTCCCATGTGCTGTAGGATGTAGTGGTTTACCATGCAAGGGTTCAAGAGCTAGGCAAGGGTGTCCTTCATCTGTGTTTGAAGAGCAACAAGAAAAGAGCAAGGCCTGAAGTGCTCAGCCCTCCCTGGCAAGTCAGAGCTGCCTCCTGGATCAGCTGGGGTCCAGAGGCCTTGTCCGAGACACACTAAAGCAAGCCCCCGTCTCCTCACACCCTCACCTGCTCGACTTCCCGCTCCCGGCTGCACTTCTCCCAGTAGTTGGTCACAATGAAGGCGGCATGAGCTCCCGTCAGTGCCAGCTCCATGCTAGCCTCGTCGTCCTGATCTCCTCGCATGACTTCAGCGCCCCGCAGCTTCAGCTCTTTGGCTGCTCTCTGCTCAGGATTCCTTGTTACCACTCGAACCCTGAATGTCCCATCTTCCAGCAATGTGCGTGCCACTGAGCCACCTTGGGCCCCTGTGAAGAGTCAAAAAGATCTCCGGGGTCACAACTGCCAGAGTCAGAGAGAGTAGAGCCCAGAAGGGATTGCTCCTCCAGGGCAAGAATGTCCAGAAACACACCAGTGTTCTTAAACTACTTTCAGGTTTTCTAGATTTGGGGGGAGGTTGCTACACAGAATCTGTGTAGCCCAGGCTGACCTGGAATAAAGATGTAGACCAGGCTAGCCCTGAACTCACAGAGATCCCCCTGTCTCTGCCTCCCAAGTGCTAGGACTAAAGAAATACACTACCACATTCAGCTTCCTTACTAGGTTTTTTTATTTAGAGACTTTGAATGTTTTTTCTTCTGACCTCATTCTCCAGAACATTGGGAATACAGGATGAGCCACCACAGCATGCTGTTTACTTGTACTTTTAAGATGTATTTTATGTGTGTGAGGTTTGCATGTATGCAATTGTAGCACATATGTGTCTGGTGTCCATGGAAGCCAGAAAAGGACATTAGATCTAAAACCAGAGTTGCAGACAGTTGTGAGCAGCCCAACGTGAGTGCTGGGAACTGAAGTTAGGTCTTCTGTAAGCAGCTCTTTGCCTTTTTAAAATGTGTAATTCAAGGGCTGATGGTGTAGTTCAGTGGTAGTATGTTTTCCTAGAATGCATGAAACCCTAGGCTCAATCCCGAGCACCATACATACGCATACAAAATAACAAACGGATAAAATGTATAATAAAATGCTTTTTAATATAATCACTGAATTGTGTAACCATTTTTATCCACGTCTACCATCCTGTGTCCTCACCCCCAAAAGAGGCCTCATCTCCATTTCCCGTCCACTAACTTGTCAACCGTTAATTTACCTGGGATTTGCCCTTTGTTGACTCGCATGCAAATTTGTGGCCTTTGGTGACTGGTTCTGTCAGGTCAAGATTAACCTACATTTTTGTTTTTCCACATATTTATCCCGTGTGTGTGTGTGTGTGTGTGTGTGTGTGTGTGTGTGTGCACATGCATAAGTCCAAGTGGTCAGTTTTGGTGGCAAGTACTCTTCCCTGCTGAGCCATCTCATTGGCCTACACCTACATTTCTAGCTAGCAGCACATGTGTGTCCTTTTTAATTTTTTTTAAGTTTTATGTATTTTTATTATGTGTATCAGTATTTTGCTTGCATGCATGTATGTATATATGCATGCATGTATGTATGTATGTGTACTGTGTGTGCGGTACCTGAGGAGGCCAGAAGATGTTCTCAGATCCCCTGGAACTAGAATTACAGATAGTTATGAGCAGCCAGGTGGGGTTACTGGGAACCAAACCAAGAGCAAGTGCTCTAACCCTGAGCCACCTCTCCAGCTTCCATTTATTTATTTACTTACTTACTTATTTTTTATTTATTTATTTTTCTTTCCCAAGACAGGGTTTCTCTGTGTAACAGCCTTGGCTGTGCTGGAACTTGCTTTGTAGACCAGGCTGGCTTTGAACTCACAGAGATCCGCCTGCCTTTGCCTCCTGAGTTCTGGGATTAAAGGCGTGCGCCACCACAGTCCAGCTCCCAGCCTCTTTTATAACATTTTCTAACCAGGCAGTGGCCAGTCTACCTGTTGTCTCAGCTACTCCAGGAGCTGACAGGGGAGGGCAGCTTGGACCTCAGGAGTTTAAAGCCAGCCTGCTTGGATGACACAATCCACTTTAAAAAAGTTTGGGCCAGGTGTGGTGGCACAAGCCTTTAATCCCAGCACTCAGAAAGCAGGAGTAGATGGATCCCTGAGTTCAAAGCCGGCTTGGATACATAGTGAGTTCCTGGCCAGCCAGACCTACAAAGTGAGACCGTGCTCGAGACACCAAAACCAAAATCAAAACTTTTTTTAACTGTAACATGGGGTTGGGGGTGGGGCACAAATCAGGGGTAGAGGATCTGACTGGGGGGAAGCCTTGGCTTCCATCTCCTGCACCACAAACACAGTGGACCACAGGCCATCACTGAGGAGGCCGAGGAAGCAGGATCAGAAGTTCCAGGCCTTGAACCACTGAGTGGCTTGGTGGGTAAAGGAGATTGAGGCCAAGCCTAACACCTGAGCTCCACCTCTGGGACCCAGTTGATGGAAAGAGAGAACCAATTTTTCTGAAAGTTGTACTTTCAAACCCACAACATAAAATTTAGTAAGTGTTTTAACAAATTCAGGGCCACCTGGGCTACATAGTGAGACTTCTCTTGAATAAAGATATAACCAGGCAGTTGTAGCACACACCTTTAATCCCAGCACTCAGGAGGCAGAGGCCAGTGGATCTCTGTCAGTTTGAGGCCAACCTGGTCTACAGAGCGAGATCCAGGACAGCCAGAGGGGAAAAAGAGCATCTTTCCAATCTTTCCAGCACCATTATTTATTTTATTTTGAGAAGGGTCTTGCTATGTAACTCTGGCTGACCTAAAAGTCAGAGCTCCACCTGCTTCTCCCAGATGATGAGATTAGCCTTAAATCTTCACATGTTTACATAGTAAGACCCTTCTCAAAATAAAATAAATAATGGGGCTGGAAAGGGGGCTTTGCAGTTAAGGCTGCTCATACAGAGGACCAAGGCATGATTCCCAGCACCCACATGTCGGCTGACAATCATAACTCTAATTCCAAGGAGTCCAGTATCCATGTCCAGCCTCGTCAAGCATCGCACACACATGGTGCACAGACACACATGTTTGAAAAACACCACTTAACATAAAATAAATAGATGAAGAACCCCACGACCACCACGATTCAGCAGTTCAGCATATAATTCAGAGGTATTGCCCTTGCCCAGGATTTGGAAAGTCCTAGGAAGCTGTGTTTTTTTTTTTTTTTTTTTTTTTTTTTAAAGAATTAATATATCTGAAAGGAAAACAGGTAGAGAGGGCAGGGAGTGTATGGAAGCAAAGTAACAAGCTGCTGTTTGAAAATGTGACCAATATTTACATAGACTCTGTACAAAACCAAGAAAATTTGCTAATTGGGGGAGGGGGAGGGAGAAAATTTAATTTTGGTATTCTGTGCAAATACACGTGCCAGCCCACATGCACGCACACACACATATAGAAGTTGCTCTGTAGACCATCTGGCCTTGAACTCTTCAGAAAGCCACCTGCCTCTGCTTTCTTAGGCCTCGAATTAAAGGTGTGTGAGCCACCGCGCCCGCATATATATTCAAAACCAATCTGCACTCAGGTTTTGCCGCCCCTGCCCACCCACATGTGTGGGAACCACAGCCACTCTTCCGGCAAGATCTTCCTGCAAATGAGGGGCGGAAGGCCCCGGCTCGGCCGACCTTACCAGGCCTGACTCGCTCACCTGTGGCTCCAAAAACCACCACCAGTTTCCTATCCGCCATGGGGTCCAGGGCCCAAGGAGCGCGATCCCAAGAGGTCCGGAGTAGCAGAGTTGGCGAAGGGCAGATCTCTGTCCGGAGCCGTCTGGTTCCTGAATGCGTTCTGAGATCCGGTCTGGCAATACCCAGTGCCCTGGATCTCCGCTTCCAGGCCCCAGATCACAACTGGGGTGACAAAGGCTGGGATGGGGAGTTGGGGAAGTGGGATTTGGCGGGATCCGCCGGCCTGCCGCAGAGTCCACTAAAAGGGGGGGGGTCGCTCCTGTGCAAGCCGCCAGCCCCCACTGCAGCCTCCAGGCTACCCTTGTAGAGCCCCCCTCCCGGTCCCATCGTGCTTGTGGTCAGCCGGTTGCCAGGCTTCCGAACCCCCGCGGTCCTGGTCCTGACCCTGCTTCTTCTGCTCCCTCAATCTGCCCTCCCCGCCCCGCTCCCGGATGGTTCCTCCCTTCACGCTGCAGCTGCTTCTGGCTTTAAGCGTTTGGGTGAGCGCACTGCCCTAAGTGTGCAGGTCCGTTTTGTCCCCAGCACACTTGCTTGGCATGTGACTGGAGTGGGGGCGGGGGTGGGAGGTGGAGTCTCTGCTGGACAGAATACCTGTCTCAGCCTCCAGAGTGCTGGAATTAGAGATGTGGATTACCATGCTTCGTTAGTTATATATACACGTTATGTGAAACATTGATCTAAACTCATAAAATGTTCTTGGCATCTCCACCACCACCACCATCATCATCATTATTGATGAGATCCCACCTGGAACTCGATATGTAGACAGGCTCTGCCTTACCTGTCCTGATGCCACACCTGGCTTGGTTACTATTTTAATAAATACATGAACATCTATCTGCACATATTGGCCGTCATCTAGTGATTAAGTGACCGTGTCTGTTAACCTCCTTTTGTATGCCTGACTCACTCTTGCGGGAACTGCAATTTTTCTATTATTTATTTATTTATTCGTTCATTTATTTATTTATTTATTCATTCATTCATTTATTTATTTATTCGTTCATTCACTCATTCATTCATGGTTTTGGGGGTTTTTTGAGACAGGTTTTCTCTGTGTGTAGCCTTGGCTGGCCTCAAACTCACAGAGCTCACATTCACCCCCACCCCTTACTTTTTTATTGTTCTCTTCCTATTCCTGTTGATGACCTTCCTTTGCGGCCAGTCTTTCTTCTGTTTTCATACTTGCTGTTTTCTTCTTTTATTCCATTTTAAACATTTTAAAAATTATTTAAATTATTGGATTTTAAACATTTAAAAATCTTTAAAATATTGTATTCTATTTTACACTTTGTGTATATGTGTTTGTGCATGCGCATGCAGGTATCTGTGAAGAACAGAAGAGGGTGTTTGGTACCCTGGAACTGGAGTTGCATGTGGTTGTGAGATGCCCGATGTGGGTGCTGGGGACTGAGCTGGGATCCTCTGGAAGAGCAACAAGTACGCTTAACTGTAGTGGGTAGCCATTCCAGCTTGGATCTGGAAGTTCCAACCCCCATTGAGACTCTGGCAACTGTCACGCCTACGAGGCGGGGCCAGGGGAGGCGCTGGGGGACCCGAGAGCTGGATGGGCAAGCACTCTCTCTGTGTGCTCTCTCGGTGCCGGGACGCTGAACGGTGAAGGTTGACTGTGCAGAGCTCCGGAGAACACCGCTGGACTGCGTTACACCTTCCCCAGACCCTGTGACCTACCCATTACTTAATTTGTGAGTTACGCCATTAAATAAATATCCTTTTAACTACGTGGAGTGGCCAAAATAATTTCTCCAATATCTGGCGCCCAATGTGGGGCACGAACCCACCACCCTGAGATTAAGAGTCTCATTGGCCAAAATAATTTCTCCAATACTTAACTACTGAAACATCTCTCTAGTGTTTTGTTTTTTTTTTTAATGATTTTTTTATTTTTCAAGGCAGGGTTTCTCCATATAACAGTGCTGGCTGTCCTGGAACTCACTCTGTAGACCAGGCTGGTCTTGAACTCACAGAGATCCACTTGCCTCTGCCTCCTGGGTTCTGGGATTAAAGGCATGCACCAGCACTGCAGCTTCTTAATGATTTTTTAAGAAAATAATTTTTTCTTAATGGTTTCATTAGGGTTGCTTACAGGAGGCACATGGGTGAGAGGGTATGTATTCCTATGGGCATGAATGGGCATCCATTCATGAATTTATTTTATATTGCCATCTCTGCCATCCTATTATGCTTCTGTGTCAATGAGACAGACAAAGGGAGTCCATGTCTTTTTCGGGTACTGAGCAGGTGTCGGACATTTGTAGAGCATTGTGCATATCTGTTAAAATCTCTATTAAATGTTAATGATAGTTTCTTGAGGTTCGTATTGTAAGCACGCCTTCTGGTTTATTTTCCATCAGATAAGCAGAGCCTTTGGGGAATGGGGCAATCAATTCCCTCATTAGCAGCTGTGGAGTTTCTTCTGCTGCCTTATGTAAAAGAACTGTCAGTCAAACAGCCAGCTGGCCTGGATTATGCCAGCACCAGCCAGCTGGAACACCCCACAGACACCTGGAGAAAACTGACAATTGTAACTATTGCGTTAGCTCCTGGAGGCACAGCTTTGGTAAGTAAAGGGCTGTTGCAAAATCTGTTTATACCAACGTGTTGCTTATCAAGAAGCCTCAGTGAACTCTAAATCTTGCAACTATTTCCATCTAGGTAAGAGAGGGAACACGTCTCCTGTGACCTAGCAAACAGACGACCGTGATTGCTGCTAAGAGACAGGGCTGTGATTGGTCCAAAACAAATAGCTGAAGTTTGTCCAGAGCAAATGGCTATGATTGGTCATTGGTCTAAACACCCTTCTCAGGCTCACCTAGTAGGCTGGCCATGGGTGCTGTAGGTCCACCCAGTAGCTTCTCAACTGGAGGGTTTTGGTTTGGTGTTGTTTTTGTTCTTTTCTCTTTTCAGCAGAGTTGGCAGTCTCAAGACGGAGGAAGCAACACCGGCCGGTGGTGGCACACACCTTTAATCCCAGCACTCGGGAGGCTGGTGCGTGCTCTGTGTGGTGTGGGTTGGCCAAAGAGAGAGGTCATTCCACAGTGAATTTTTGAGGCCTGTGTGGCAGCAGGGAGGTCCAGCCTCTGACGGACTGAACCTTGAACAGCTGTACAAAGGCATATTTATTGATTGTTGCACAAAGTTGTCTTTTGGGTAAACAAGTTCCTCATACCAAAGTCCCTGATCTAACCCATATGTGTTTCTGAAGGAAAGGCATCACTCCATGCTACTTTAGTCCTTACTGTGTCTGCAGTACCCAACAATCCAAGAGCTTCAGGTGGGCCAGCAGTGTCTGGTGACCAAAGTCATGCAAAGGCTGTAGAGCTGCTTCAGAAAAACAACTCTGTCAATCAACAGAAAACAATCACTGATTTCCACTGAGATTTATTTAAGGTACTTACAGAAAACAACTGTTCTAATGATTACCCTGTATACAGTGACTCTGTTAGATTCCTACAAGAACAGGCAGAGACAGGCAGATCTCTGTGAATTCAAGGCCGGCCCAGTCTACAAAGAAAGCTCCAGGACAACCAGGGCTACACAGAGAAACCCTGTCTTGAAAAACAAACAAACAAACAAACAAACAAACAAACAAACGATGGAGGAAGCAGCAGAGACATCAGTGAAGATGGTGGGTGACTCAAGAGACATCGGAGGTGCTGGGGATTTAGCTCAGTGGTAGAGCACTTGCCTAGCAAGCGCAAGGCCCTGGGTTCGGTCCTCAGCTCAAAAAAAAAGACATCTGAGTGGTCGGCAGGAGCACCAGTGAATGGGTCCAGGCAGCCAACGATCAGCCAGCACAGGATGAAGGGCAGTGCATGTGGAATGTGGAGAGACAGCAAGAGCGAGCAAAGAGCTGAGACTGCAGGAGCCGGAGAAGAAAGACTGCAGGCCCTGGTCACAGGGATGTCAAGTCTTCAGGGCCTTAGGGTCTGTAATCAGCCTTGCCCCTTAGCTCCAGTCACTGCCATCTTTCTGCTAGGCCACAAGGAAAAGTGTCCCTCCTCTGGCCAAGGTGGACATAGTTGTAGGGTCACCTCAAGTTCACTAAGACTTCTGAAAACAAAAAGTTCAGTGCAAACTGTTGAAACAGCCTTGGATGATGCTGTGCCTTCCAGAGCCCAGGTGATCATTTGTGGTCATCAGCTTTCTCATGGTGTCTGTAGAGTGTTCCAGATGACTGATACTGGCATAAGGACAGCCATTTGATTGACAGCCTTTTTCTTCAAAGTAGCTAGGCAGTAAGAAAGAGTCTAAGGCAGCTGTAAGTTGGGGAGTCATGTTGGATCATCCTGAACATCTTTTCTTACTTTCAGAAACACAAATACCAGGAATGCTTTCTGTTATCAAGGACTGGGGCTCAAGGGTTCAGAGCACTGGCTGCTCTTCCAGAGGTCCCGAGTTCAATTCCCAGCAACCACATGGTGGCTCACAGCCATCTATAGTGGGATCTGATGCTCTCTTCTGGCATGCAGGTGTACATGCAGAGCACTCATACATAAAATATAAATAAATATGATTTGAAAAAACACCAAAAAACCTAAAGGGCTTACTAACAGCAACAGTGATTTTAACAGATGTTGACTTGCTTCCCCAGAGCCCAACACCTGCCTAATGCCCCAAGAAGAGATTCTCTTCTCTTTATAACCCAAGAGGGTTTCTCTCATTTGTCTTGCTTCCAACTGGTACCCATTAAGTGTCCTAATGATCACCCCCACTCCCCAGCAGAACACCAGACTGGCTCTACCTTGTTCAAAAGCCATATTGAAACTCCAAGGACCTTAAACTCATTATGATAATAGCACACCCATTGGTGCCAGGACAGAATAAATAGACCCAGGAATGAATAAATTATGGGTAAAAAGAAGTGGTACCCTGATTCTTGGAAACTTTCTCCATGAAAAGCTCTGATAATGTAGAACAATGGTAGAGTTTTTGTCTAGTATGCTGGAGATCCTGAGTTCAATCCCTAGTAGTGCATCCTCTCCCCATAATAAAATTACAGAAAAGAAAGATCTGAGGAGTGCTTGTATACATCACCCCTTGTAACTCAGTCCTAATAAAATCTAACACCCTAGTCCTGCTCAGGGAGAAGTTGCCACCATACTCTCTCTGGTCATCAAATAAACTGGCTGCTCCAGAATTGCTTGGTTATTTGTGAATGGTATTGAGTAGAAAAAGATCCTGCAAAACTGGTTAACAAGTCTAGTGTTGGGGCTGGAGAGATGGCTCAGTGGTTAAGAGCACTGCCTGCTCTTCCAAAGGTCCTGAGTTAAATCCCCAGCAACCACATGGTGGCTCACAACCATCTGTAATGAGATCTGGTGCCCTCTTCTGGCCTGCAGGCGTACATACAGGCAGAACAATGCTAGTGTGGAAGTCTTCCTAGCCCGTGGGTGCACTGTACACCTGGACATGGAGAGGTAGAAAGAGAACATTAGGGGGTTGGGTAGACATAACTCAGTGAGAGAGCTTGTTCGAAACCTGGAATTCTATCTCTAGTACAAAAACAAACCAAAACTGTAATAGTTAAAAAAGTAGCCGGGCAGTGGTGGCACATGCCTTTAGTCCCAACACTCGGGAGGCAGACGCAGGTGAATCTGTCTAAGTTTGAAGCCAGCCTGGTCTACAGAGTGAGTTCCAGGACAGCCAGAACTACACAGACAAACCCTATCTTTAAAAAAAAAAAAAAAAAAGCAATTTTCTCTAAAGCTTATTATGGTTGGCAAGCACTGTATCATTGAGCTACACCTCATCCAAATCTTTACTATGAAAATCTGTAATCACACAGAAAAGCTTAAGGAACTGTATAGCAAGCAGCCATATATGTGCTACATGCATTCTGCAATCCTCAACATTTACATTCTATTTATTGGAACAATTGTCTTTCTATCCATTCTACCTAGCTACCTTTTTTTAAAAATAAGATTTATTTTTATTATTTTTAATTATGTATGTGTATGTAGGTATGTTCACATGAGTGTAGGTGCCCTCAAAGAACAGAGGAGGAATTAAATCCCCCCAGAACTAGAGTTACAAGTAGTTGTGAACTTTGTGAGGTAGGAGCTGGAATCAACTCCAGTTCTCTGCAAGAGGAATACAAGCTCTCAACAGCTAAACCATCTTTTAGCCCCCATCTTACTTAAAAAGAAAATGATGTGTGTGTGTGTGTGTGTGTGTGTGTGTGTTCTTATTGTATACAGTTTTACTATGTTAAAGTTAAAACCTTTCCTTTTTCATTAGACAAAAAGTGGGAAATGTTGTGGAATATTTGTTTACACTGTAAAGATGTGTCTCTGCCTAAGGAGCCTTCTGATTGGTTTAATAGAGAGCTAAATGTCCAATAACTAGGCAGGAGAGGTAACCTGGGACTTCTGGAGAAAGAGAGGAATGGAAGAGGAGGAATCTGGGTGCATGGATTTTCATCTTGCACCAACTAGGAGCAAGTTGGATGTGCCATATTAAGAGGAAAGGTAATTGAGCCACATGATAGAATGTAGATTAATATAAATGGGACAATTTATGTTATAAGAGCTAGTTGGGAACAATCCTAAGCTAAGACTGAAGTTTCATAATTAAAAATAAGTCTCTGTGTTGTGAGCTGGCAACCCAAAGAAAAATCCCTCTATATATGGCACAAAACATGGAAAGCTAAAAAAAAAAAAAAAAAGTTCTAAGCACTTGAATGGGGTTTATAAGCACTGGACAGCATGCTACTCAGTGGTGGAAAACAGGATTAGGCTGGCCTTGAACTCACAGACATCTGCCTGTCTTTGCCTCCTGAATGCTGGGATTAAAGGTGTTCACCACCACTGCCCAGCTGTCAATCATTTTGATTTTTAGCCTGATCTGGAGAGACCTAGTGAAGGAACTCATTCCAACATGACACTCTCCTTTAATTTTGATTTAACAGGATTATCTTTTAATGTCATGCAGTGATCTTTCTATTTATGCCTCTTTTGGGTCTTGAAAGTATATAAAATATACAAATAGCTACCCAGAAATGGAATTGTTAGTTAGGCTTGATGACACAAGCATGTGGACCTAATTCAGGGTAGTGTGAGGTAGGAGGATCTTGAGTTCCTAGGCTGCATAAGTAAGGCCTTTAAGAGATTTTTTTCATTTATCTATCTATCTATCTATCTATCTATCTATCTATCTATCTATCTATTATCAGCTTGATACAGTACAAATTCTTATCCTAATAGTGAAATGTTTCACTGAGGCTTGCCCAGTGATTGAGTAAAACCAAAATTTATTAAAAGCAAAGTCTTCCTAGGGTCCCCCCTGCTATGTAGCCTCCTGGTTCTGTGAGTTGCAGTCTGATTGTTCTTTGCTTTATATCTAGTATCCACTTTTGAGTGAGTACATACCATGTTTGTCCTTCTGGGTTTGGGTTACCTCACTCAGGATGATATTTTCTAGTTTCATCCATTTGCCTGCAAATTTCATGCTGTCATTGTTTTTCTCTGCTGAGTAGTACTCCATTG